TTAATTATGTAGTACTCACAGGTTCAAATGTCATCATAGCCTGGAGATACATGATGGTGCTGTAACCAAGAGCATGGTACATGCTTTCATTTATCCTAAAATCAGTCAAGAAAATCTCAAGTCATCTCTATCATTAATCTGCAAAAATTAAAAAAAAAAAACCCAAAGGCTACATATTGAGTAGTGAAATTTATCACAAACATTGACTGTGAATTTCCATTGAATTTTACAGAAAATGTGGATTAATCTCAATTTCACTTTTACTTGGTCTTATTCATGACACTGTAAAAGCATCCAAATTTTATGCCAGAGTCAAAATTAGTTCAGCTTCAAATGCAAAGCCTTATTGATGATGCAGTACCCAAATCAATGTCAGTATCTGAGTAACCATGCACCTACCCCTCCCCTAACCCAACATCAGTCAATTGATAACAAGTTAGGGTTTAATGTTGGGTTAGGGGAGGGGTTGGTGGGCAGTTGCTTAGATACAGACATTGATCCCAGTATTGTATGGACAATCTGAGGGCCAATTCAAGTTCTAAAATTTGCTTAGAGTAAGGTACACTGTTGATTACCATGGTTCCAGTTTAGCTTGTGCTTGAAGGAACTTGTTTGACAAACACAGGTTGACAGCAATATTTGTCATCTTAATGGCATCAGCTAACACTTTTTCATCCACATCACCACTGTAAACAATTTAGAGTGAATTATTTTAAATTTGAAACCCCTCTTTTTGCCCTTGAGGATTTTGAAGGATCCTCACAAAGAACTTTGCTAGGTTCTTTGGAGAATCTTTGGAGGATCTTTTGCAAGTCCTTGAGGATGTTTAACAAATGATTTCAAACTATATACTGGGTGAAAATTGTGGCACAATAAACAGGCATTGACTGGATTTTTCAAAGGAGGGATCACACTTTGTCAAACAGAGGGTACTCACCAGATTATCATGTCAACCTTCACACAGTGTTTTACTCATGTGACTAAAAAGGCTTACAAAAGGAGGGTCACAGGCACCCCAGGACTCCTCTAACTAATCCTTTGCTCTAGCACTCCAACCAAGGACCCCTCTAGCACCCCTCCCTTTTACAATTCAGTACAAAATACTCCTGGGTGGAGAGAGAGACAAGGAGATTAAAGTGTCTTGCCCAGAAACACAAGACAAACACCTGGCTATGTCTCAGAACGGTAACCTCCTGACCCATAGTCCACCTCACGAACCATCTCCCATAAAAAATTATCATCTAGCAATCATGGCACCTATTACCCTTCTGCAAAAGACTTGGATTTGTCTCCCAATTGTTTGTTTGTTTTTTTAATTTTAAAGATGCTGTTTCTATTTTTATTCTTTTCCAGTCTTAAGAATCAGTTAGCAGACTTCAGTACTTTTCCACAGTAAAGTCATTACTTAAGGGTTGTTCACATGAGCAAGTGATATTGACTTGTACAAGGCTGCAAAATATGCCTTGCACATGTCCACGCCACCTGAGAATAATACTAGCCCCAAATTCCTAGGCACAGCAAAGAATGTGGAAATGCTGTTTCAATACCATCCATGGGCATATAGATTTCATGATGCCACTGTGACACATGATCATCACAAATTCACATGAAAATCTATGATCATTTTGAAATGATTCTGATTATGTTAATGTTTACAGTCTTGATGATTGAGTTTGGCAGTATGCCCTCTATGCCAAATGCATTGCATACCCCTTCTTTATTGTGAATACAATCATTCTGATGTTGCTTTAAATTGGGCCTGGTTTGATTTTTCTCTTTATCATATCACATGAGAATTACATGCAAAAGAATTAGAGATGACAAAAGTCCTCTTTGGATGAGAAAAGAGAAAAAATTTACATCAAGATACATTTAGAATGCCTCCAAACCATTTCTTTCTTTGAAAAGAGGTGCATTGAAGGTAGAAAAAATAATTTTTTGGATGCCATAAGCAGTAGATTTGAGCCTATTAAATTCCAAGCAACTGATAATTAAAATAAACTATTGATCTCCTCTCTGTCTATATTAAGTAAGTAAAACACAAATGCCAGTATTTGATTCTTTACATTTATATTCCACAAGGGTTATTGACAAGGGTTATTGACAATTTACGCCCGCGATTCCCCTCTTATCGATAATTAACGGGCTTGAGTTTCGTCTGCTGAGCGCACTGTCAAAATTTGTTTGAGATACAAAGGAAAACAAATGGTCAAAGGCAGAATTTTTTAACTAATTGAACGTGATGGATCCTGCATGACAACCATAATACACAAAATTCATCCAGGAAAATGTGAACGAAAGTTCAGAGACAGGTCGCTTATCTGCAAATTCCACTTTTAGCAAGTTCGTTTTATCGCTGTCAAAATGCTGACATGATATAAAAGATTTCTATCCTAAGCTAAAAAGAAATGACTTCTCAAAGAAACGACTTCAAGTTACCAACCATGTCGAATTAAGTTAAAACTTACAAAACAACCTGGAGACAATCACCACTTTTTAAATTGTTTAGTTTCGAACGCTGTCAAGAACGTCTTTCTTACCTGGGTACGCGGCGAGAGTTGACCGCACTGGCGGCCATTTTAGCTCTTTCTTTTCTACATCTATTCCTCAACACGATCCGCTTGATTCGCTTGCAGAAAAGCCGAGGAAACGTTTTGGAAACGAGTCTTACTTTCACACCTGCTGCACTCCAGCGCTTTGTTTACCGGTTCCTCATTACACGGTTCGTGTCGTTCCCAGTGTTTCCTCAGAGTTGTTTTGATCCCCTCCCATCCCCACTAGGGAAGATTTTTGATCGGAGGCGTGGCTAATACGTCAAGTTGCTCATGTCACAACAGAAAGCCGCGAACAAAGAAACATCACAGAGAAAAAAGTTTCTGTGGGCGAAACGAAAAACTTTCAGCGTTTCCTTACATTTGGCACGTCGCAATGAAAAGCAGGAAACGTGATTATGTAGGCCCTCGAACTTAATCCGCGGATTGGAGTGGTTTTAATTGAGAAATCTGAGGGACCAGTTGAGTTGTGCATACAAAACCCAAGGACGAAAGATGGCTTCAGGAGAGGGGAACAAAATTATGGTGTTTCGTCCAACTTTGGAAGAGTTTGCAGATTTCTCTGCTTATATTCGTAAGATGGAAGAGATGGGAGCTCATCGAGCTGGTGTTGCTAAGGTTAGCGGTATAAAACCGGCCTGAACCTTTCTTTATTTTAAAGCTTTCGTTTGTTTACAAAGCGTCCAGTTTGAACACACGTGGTGAAAAATAGCAAGACTACACTGAGTTAATAAACAGCTTGTGAAGGTATTTGTTCTCTTTGAATTATATTTAGGTCATACCTCCCAAAGAATGGGTTCCTCGTAAAAGTTATGAAGACATAGACACTATGATTCCGGCGCCAATATTACAAGTTGTAACTGGAACTCAAGGTAGGTTGAAATCCAAGGTGTACTGAAAGAAAAACCTAGTGAGCTAAAATAGTAAGCTTAGTGGTCCATTTTCTCTAAACAAGAGACATGATAAATTTCACTATCGAATTCAAATTCTCCATTAAGAAGGAAATGTCGGCTCGAGGTGAGAGTGAGCTTTTAACTCGACAAAGACGAGAACCAGAAATGGTTCCGTGACAGTAAGCTAAGCTTATTTTCATAGGCGCAAAATATAAGTCTTAATTGTTTAACACTAGATAGTAAGTAAAGTTCGAAATTTCATACACGACAATAAATTTGTACTCAGCCATATGTTAGATTATGAGTGAAAAGACAGAACTTAGCTACAGTTTCATTGTCACACAGGCAATTGCAGAAAACTGGGTTCTGTTGAAATGTTTTGCTGCCAGGTTCAATGAAGCATTTAATACTTAAGAGCGAAACAAAAACAACTCACTTGCGTTTAACAGGCGCTGCAAAAGGTGTTTACATACTTTCTACCAAGGTCTATGATTGTGTTATTGTTCACAGTTAACTTTAGCATCCATGGGTTTCAGTGAACTCGTGGTTTTTAAAATGCAAACCACGTTTTCTTCCGACAACGAACTGGTTTTGTGCCTCATTTCCGCAGCATCTGTAGATGATTAGTTCCTATTGTTAATTAGCGAAGTCATCAAAACCTCACAAAAGTAATCCTGAAGAAATTTAAATTGCAAAGTGAAACATTCCATTGTGGTGACCAAAAAGTAGCTTATTTTAAGACTTGTGTTAAGAGTTTTAATTACCACCCGTTAATAATTATTTCCGATTTACCTTAAAGGTTAGAAATGTGGAAACAATGGTTATAGACCCACCTTTTCCGATCGTCACGTGCCAATTTTTAGCTATGAAATTTCTGCTAAGTATTATTGATGGTTAACTGATTAGAAACCTGTGAAAGAGGAACTGGAAGATTTTAGGGTCTAGCGTGGAGAAAGTGAAAAAGCTACCTTTGAAGTCAAGCGCTAAATTCAATCTTTAAGGGGCTAATCCTATTTCACCCACAAATTTAGAAAATAAACAAGTCACTTGTACTTCAAACCATATTTCATGCTTCACAAATTTAAAAGGAAAAACTTCAAATCTCACCTTCCCTTGCCTATCTGTAAAATTCAGGTATTGTTTATTAATTTTGAGCTTAATCATTCATCATGACAATTAACCTTTGGCTACTTTCCTCTAACTCTTTACCATATTTATGAAAGCGGAGAAGGGTTGTATGTCAGTGTAATGATGCGGAGGTGATGTCATCCAAAAAAAGTTCCATTTGGCTTTTGTTAAACCTTGTAAAAGACAAAAGACTGAAGTTACTGATCAAAGAGTCCTTTATCTCTAAGTAACCATCACATTAAGATGGGGGCATCTGTAAAGGAGATTTTTTTGTGTTGCCTCCAACGTGACATAAAAAAAAAGTTGTGAGAAGTTTAAACTCAGACTTTCCGATTCTGTGCTCTGATGCTTTACCACTGAGCTTTAGAGACTTTAGGCAGGTTATTTAAACAAAGTTTAGTCTTTTTTTTAACAATACTGCATCCTTAACAATACTTGATTTAGCTGAACTTTTTATCTGAACATTTATTTTTGTGAACTGTGTCAAGACGGTCAAAAGCTAACAGTGGGTGGACATTCAGTTCATTAAATCAACCCTCTTATAGTGAAAGCCCACAGACTGTATAAAACCATTGTTTGGGTAAGACCTTGAGTAAATAACTGGCCTTTTATGTTGAGCCCTGGTTTTGTAGGCAACATAGCTGCTGTATACTGTTTGGATCAACAATGTCACAAGTTTTTTGTAAGTACTTGGAATAAAGTACTTAGTTTCTGTCTGTGTTACTTGTAAAAGAAACTGATGTTTGATAAAATTTTTACTGTGGACTCTCTGTACAGTTGTAGGGCAACAATATCAAACCAATGCTTTTTTTAACATCATACTGAGAAAAATGGTCACTCCTTCCAGGACTGCTTTTAAGAGCTAGCTGGCGAGTAAACTGGACTGATTTACTTGCACAACCTCACCATTTGCTTCAGTCAGCAGATTAGATCAGGCAAAGAATGTGCAATAATTTGTGTGGAAACTTGACACTAAAACCACCTACCATAAAAGTTTTCACCATGATCTTCACCTAGTCAACACGAGTCACCTTTTATGACCTCACAAGGTTCACAGATTATTATATCTTTAATTAAACTTAAGGTAGTCACATGGCTTTCCAGTTTTGGATTCATTGTATTTCACTTGGTTTGATATTATGGTACACACAGGGCTTGATTTATGTGTACCTCTTAAATTTGAGAAAAAACTCACCAATTGCCATTGATTGTTTTGATTTTTGTGACTAATGTGAAAGTTCCTTCGCTCTAAACCTTCTTTAAGTACACCATACAATGTCATCACTTGGAACTTGACATCTTGGGTAAAATTTCAACTCAAACACCTTAGATCATTGTATGAGAGCAACTAGCAAGTTATTAAGGCTTATATAGAATGTCCTGTGATTTACAATTTTTTACTCATTTAGTTTCATGTAGTTTGGCTTGGTTTGTAGAGGATTGAAATCATAAAGTATTAGAGTAACTTGCAAGAGAGGAATGGAAAAAAGCAAAGGATATGCAACAGTCCAATAAGTTTTTAAGTAATGAATGAATAAAATCCTTTGAACTTGAATAATGTTCACAGCTGGTATTTCTTATTTTTCATTGCATTTTCAACCATGTGAAAGGTTTTTACATTTTCTTCCACTTGGTTGACTTTTGCAATCCATTATTTTATTTTCAAGACAGCCAGTTTTGCCCAAGGACTGAAAAAATGTGTCTATTACATCATAAGGATTCACCATTAATAGTTTGCACAACTGTGCCAAAGATCATTTTTTATCTGTTGCTGTTACAAAGGTTTCTGTCAGTCAGAGGTATTCCCACTTTGCTTGACATTAATCTTCATTTGTTAAGGAATATGATAATTACACTGAACCATCTGAGTAATGTATGTTATGTCTTGCTTATTTCAAAGGACTGTTCCAGCTGTTCAATGTGCAGAAGAAGGCAATGTCTTTTAGTGAATTCAAGAAACTTGCCAACAGTGAAAGGTACACGTTGGTGTGAGGAGACACATTTAAAATAAGTTTTATGATGTTGGAACTTATGAGGTTTTGTAGAGTTGGCGCACAAGTGCTGAGAAGAGGACACAATCTCTTTAAAACGAGGTCGTTTTGATCTGGAATTTTTTGTCAGCTTGTCAGGAAGTGATAGAACCTAATTTTTCACTCTTCTGTCACCTATACTGGGTCTAGTTTTGGAACCTGTCTGACGAGTGGCCTTTGTAAACAACTTTTAATCTGGATATGTTGAGATTAATTCCTTTCCCCTTCCCCCTTCAAAGCTGGGTTTGCCAAGTCAAATTACTCCATCACAATTGTTTAGATGTGTTTGAATTATTTCAACACCGTCAGTGATCTTTCCTGAATCAGTGAGTTACCTTGAATGGAATCCATATGGTTCCAGAAAAGAGGTGTCCTTGAGGGGGTAGGACTAAGTGAAACATGGGTGCCCTACACCTCCCGTAATGGGGAAATGAGTGGAGCTCACTGGAGCTGCTGAGTGTTTTTTCACTCCCAACAAGTACTTTTACTTTCTAAGTCTTGTTGAACTACATTGTATCTTTGTTTTCAGGCACAGACCTCCCACGGGAGATCAAGATGAGATTGAAAGAAAATACTGGAAAAACGTGACATTCAACAACCCAGTTTACGCAGCTGATATTCCCGGCACAGTGTACGACAAGGATGTGAAAGAATGGAACATAGGAAGATTAGGAACAATTCTTGATTTGATCAAGAATCAATATGGAGTCCATATCGAGGGAGTAAACACCCCATATTTGTACTTTGGGATGTGGAAAGCTACATTTGCATGGCATACTGAGGATATGGATCTCTACAGTATAAACTACTTACATTTTGGAGCTCCAAAGACTTGGTGAGAACTTACTCAGTTACTGAAATGTTTGTTAACAAATGGTGATCAAGGCTTATTGGGGAAAATATTATGTACATGTCCTCAGTAATAGGCTTTTGCGGTGTTATTGTGGCTACTGTGAAAAGGGTTATTGAAAGAAGGGAATCAAACACACCGTAAATTTTGACAACATTAGTCTGATTTTTTTCTACATTTTTCAGGTATGCAATCCCTCCCGAACATGGCCAGCGCTTGGAAAGACTTGCTGCAGGTAAGTAAACGTGTTTAGATTTCGCATTACGGCCTCTTTATTGGGCGCAGCCGCCTATTACACCATTGGCAGAAAAAGTTACTGAAATCCCTGATTATAACCCTTCTCATCTGTTTTCTTTTCCTCGTACTTCCACCCGATCTTTCTCACCAGAAGAAGAGAAAAAATTGGCAATGAGGGGAAAAACTGGAATGCTCGTAGTTAAGTTGCGAAGCTGTATAGAACCTTTTACAGTATGGTGCAAAAGTAACGAGAGAGGAAATTTGATCCTTTCGGCCGAAAAATGTCGAACATAAGCCCTCTTCCCCCATCCGTTTAATTTCTGGGCTACCATTTGTTCGTTTGACAAAATTCGCCTTGGAATTCTTCTAGTTGGAGCATGTAAGGAAAGCAATTTCCGTCAAACTTCGGGACCAAAATTCTCTTCGATATCCTATGTGGTCTTTTCTGCACAACTAAAGTGCGACAGTAAGGTGATAAGGCTGCTGTCACACATCGACATGACTCACGTGACAGTATCGAATTTGAGAAAAGGCGTGGTGAAAAGTTATCAAACGGCAGGTTTGGAAATGGGTAATGGATAGAATTGCAAAGATTTTAGATTCTGCGCTTTCCCATGTAAGTAATAAATATATACTGTAGCCAGCCTTAACCTTCAATCTTCACGCTTTCCAACTTTTTTTCCCACAGGTTTCTTTCCCGGAAGCTTTCAAAGCTGTTCCCAGTTTCTTAGACACAAGATGACTATTATCTCACCCCAAGTGCTTAGAAAGTTTTCAATACCATATGATAAGGTATCTTAACAATTACATATCCACCTTTTGAGCGCCTAGGTCTTCGTCTGCAAAGCAAAGTTTGGAAGTAATTTCAAGGCATTCTCTTCATAGTAATGTGTGCGCAAAAAATTCAGCATATGCAGTGGTTGAGAACGCGTTAATTAATCTTAAACAGTACAAGAAGTTGAGATTTGGTAAAAACAGTTGAAATTGAATTCATTGATGAGAAAGTCTCGAGTGGTCAAAAAAAAAAAAAAGATGGCGGACAGGTAGGAGAAAGGAACAACATTTTAACCTAGAGTTTGAAGGAGGATGCTAGTAACAAAAACACCTAACAGAGCACAATAAACCGGCTTAAGGTCTGGAAGTCGCGGGCTTCCAAAAGTGGCTAGGACGTAGGCCCTGAACAAAATTGCCGCGGAGTTTTTCACAACATTTCGTAAGAAAGACGGGGAATATTACGAGTTTGATAGCCTTCGCGTAATGGTTACTGTTATTGAACGATACCTATCAGAGAAAGAGTACAAACGCCCAATTATTCGTAACAGAGATTTTAAAAGCTCAGAGCAAGTTCTTAAAGGTAGAGCCCGACTACTCCGACAACAATGCAAAGCTATACGGCCAAATCAGTGAGCCATGACACAGTCTAAACACAACTAGTTTGGAAAACAGACTTCAATTTTTGTTCTTATATTATTAACAAGGAACCAAATTGTTTATATCATGCAATTTAAGATAAGTTAGTAATTTGGTTAGCCTCTGAAAAATTTACTTGTGCTGATTTATCCCAAACTGCACTTGAAAGCAAGTGATTATCTACACCTCTATTTAGATGTACCTATTTTTCAATGAAATCTGAAATACCTTGTTCGTTTTCAGATAACACAAGAAGCTGGCGAATTTATGATCACCTTTCCTTATGGCTATCACTGTGGTTTTAACAATGGTTTTAACTGTGCTGAGTCGACGAATTTTGCGTCTGAAAGATGGATTGATTTTGGAAAGAAAGCGCAAGTTGTGAGTAGTAGACTTCTTACAATACTCTTATATTATGTATTTACTTTCGTTATCTTATTAGTAGGACAGAGTTATGAAAACTCAAAAAAGAGCATAGAAGTGAGGATATACCGTGATTCTTTCCTCAATAGTTCTGATGATCATCTTTGATAATTTTTTTTTTTTTTGTGAGGATGCCCTTTCTGGGATTTTAACCTTGTATCGAGCTGCAAATTGGCTTCCTTGACATTGGTAACCTTGTATTTGATTTCTTTCAGTGTATGTGTAAAAAGGACACCGTTAAGATTTGCATGGATGTCTTCGTTAAGACATTTCAAGTAAGTTAGCTCAACAAAGTAAAAATAAATGACTAACACAATGCCTTGTAGTATTTAGAGTAATCGTTGCGAAAATTTCCTCCACTTGAGGGAGAAAAAGAAATATTAGTTTTAAGAGAGAAACAATTAAAAAAATCTTCGAAGAGACAATAAAAACGCAAGTAGGGACAAAGCTGGCCATGGATGAAGAGAAAACGGATATATTGGAAATGGAGGGCTTGAAAAATTAAGCCGAAGTTTGACAAGATACGCAATCCATTAGTAACCGAGGTTTTTCTACATGTCCTATGGTTTTCCTTCCTCCACTGAATTCTACATTCTAAATTCCGGTTCGACCTGGAAACAGTGGTTAAGAAGGGCCACCTTGTGGAACATCCATTGCTTAATTTCGCTTTTTATTGCCATCATTGTGAACATTATTATTACTTGAATTAAAGTGTATTAACATTAAAGGCTGTTGTTGATTTTCCAGCCAGACAAGTGGGAAGAGTATCTGAAGTCCAAACAAGACGACAGCAGTGACAGCGAGGATGACGAGGAAGAAGAGCAACACGAGGAAGGGAAAGAGAAAAAGAAAAACGAAAAAGATAGAGCGCCGGGGAAAGAAAAAATCAAGTCAGAGGGTCTTCTTATAGACGTGGATGATGACATGCCCCTTGCTAAGTTGAAAGAAACGCTAGCAAGGTATTTAGAGAACGTTTCCTGTCTAAAGCAACTGAATTAGTTTTGAAGGAAGGGGGTAACTTTTTAAATTCTGATTGGATCTTTGAAATTCTGATTGGGTACTTGCGATATCTTCCCTATCTCTGATTTTCCGTTTTTTTTTCCTTTTTTTCTTTTTTCATTTGCTTATAGTTTTACGATGAATTTGGAATGCGCTCTAAAGAAGGGCGATAAGCATTTATCGCTGACGCGGAACAAATCAAAATCAACATTCCCCTTGAGGATTTCAACCCCAGTGCCTCTAAATCACAAAAAAACTCGTAAAAAAAATCGTTAAAATTGTTGAAACCCGCCGAAAAATCGTGATAAATTTGTTGAAAGAATAATTTCCCGTTCCAATTGTACGATCGAATACCTCATAAAAGTAGTTCGAAGGCCTCCTCGGCCCTATACATACAGATTAAAAAGAATCATTACTGTATTATTTTGAATACGCATTTCATTTCTTTGGAATGAAATAACAGCTAAAATATGTTTTTGATTAACTCCTAGAGGGTCTCTTGAGAGACGAAAATCTGCATCTAAAAGACAGCCCGTGGTTACAAAATCCTTCACTGTCCCCAGCAGTGCTGGGAGAAGAAATAAAATGGAAGAAACCAAGAAAAGAAAAGGTGCACCTTCACCTCACTTGTTCGTACCTAATGAGGTCCATTTGTTAGTTAGTAATAGGACACACCTTGCGCAAACCAACAATAGAGTGATTTAGCAAGAGGACGGGAACGTCATTTCAGAACAGGAAAGCGCGCGGTTAATCTAGACACGACTCTATTTCGACTTCGTTGCCACTCTCCCCATCATGTTCAGGACGTCATTTCGCTGGTTTTCCCGTCGCGATCAAAACGCCTAGGATTTGCGTTAATTGTGCACTTATAAACGAGATATTACTGTTTGGAATGATTTCAGAACTCATTTCCAGGATAATCAGGCCCCTTTCTTTGTTTTATTCGGTGTACATGTGAAAATTTACAGCTACGTTAATTCTGGATTCCCGAAAGGAATCACGTTCGTTAGCAAGCGATCCAAGATTTCAGGCTCAGTTACCTTTTTTTCGTAATTGAGCTAGGCTTTAAACAACGTAAGGGGGTTTTCTTTGATACATTTCTTAAACCCTGTATGAATACTCTAAGAATGGGATGCTGTTAATTTTATCGTGAATTAATTCATCAGTAAATGAAACTTGCTTCATGTTGAAGTATATCAAAATGAAACAACACAAAGCTTACCTATTGTATTATCCAGTGTTATTTGTTGTCATTGTCGTTTTAACCGTGATTAAAAAGTGTTCTGTGAATTGAAGTCAGAGATAAAAAAAATTTGAGAATAGCTCGGGTTTGCACTTTTTTATGTCTTTGATTTTTGATCAGCGCCAGTGAAAACTAAGAAAAGAAATTCATGCTCTCGCTACGAAAGAAAATTACTTGATTTTGGCACGGCTTTCTAAAGCTATTAATTTGATTTAGCCTCGAAAGACTTTATTCGTTAAAAAAATTAAATTAAACAAAAACAAAATAAAACAGGAACGAAGTCTTATTCCTCAGTCTAACCGTTTCGTTGGTGATGTCATGGCTAAACGGGAACTGATCGTAAACAACTCCGTCTTTGGGTCGCTTGATTTCTACATGTTTTCGCCATAACTCCTGATAACTCCGTTCAAAATGCATTGCAACTCGAAGAAGGTGGTGCTCAAGAGAGATGTACTGTCATGATTGAGAAGAATATTTAGTAAACAAGGGGAAAAACGACGACATTTTCAATTCCAAATTATGCTTAACAAGGAAAAACGAGTAGAAGCACTAAACGGAATGACAGCGACGCAAATCATAGAAAAAAACATATTTAGTGAGCTTCAAAATTTGATAGATGAATCTGCAGATTCGAGACTTAACTGGAATGGAATAATTTCAAGGTTTCATCGCCCGTGTGGATTCATATTAACAATTCACTTGTAGTAAACTATCCTCTGTTTGCACTTATTACACTCTCAAAGAAGGTAATTTCGTTGTCCTTTAAGTCGTCTATGAAACCGAAAATTCAAAGGTGATAGTGATCTTTAAAGAGCCGAGGTTAGGATGTTCAAGAACAAATACAACGTTGACGGTTCGTTGCAACGACTGCTAAGTCTCTTCTGAGACACGAAGGGGCGACGTTCTCGACCCAGTTTCTTATCGGTATTTTTGCTACGCGCGCCGTTGTCAACTGACGTTCCCTTCCTCTTGCTAAACCACTCTATTAAATGTCCTAAGACGGGCCCTCTGCTGGAAATCCCCACGGTAAGAGCAAGAGAGGGCGACCATGGAATTTTTGGCTTCATGACCTTGGGGCTGACATCAGAAAGAGCGGCCACTCATGGAGCCAATAAGAAAGAATGGCTTAGAAGAGAGATCTCTGGCGGACTGTTTTTGACGGCCCATCGCTTCTCCTGGAGCATGGAGATATCTATCTAAGAATATCTTAGATAGATATTGAATATATATTAGGGATCAATATCAGTGTCTGAGCAACTGCCCACCCACCCCTCCCCTAACCCAACAACAGTCTATTGATAATAAGTTAGGGTTAATGTTGGGTTAGGGGAGGGGTAGGTGGGCAGTTGCCCAGATACTGATATTGATCCGATATTAATTAGTAAACATCCCTGCCATGAGGCAACTTACTGCAGTTATTATACCTGGAGAAGCTTCTCGACAACATAATCTCGATATACTTGATTTAACCTTTTTAAACCCTAACATCAATATGCATTTTCTCCATACTGTTCTCTATACATTACCAAAGGTGCTGACAAGGAGATTTTGTCAAACAATCAAAAGCTTCTTTAGTTGGTGATCTTTTCCTGTATTCTCGTGACCTTAATGTTTGATTCAGGGGCGATATTGTAAGGAGAAATTAGATGCTAGTTAGGCTTTTGGGTTGAAGGGTAAAGTGTCTTAATGTTGGTAACAAAATGCTGATGATCTTCTGGCCAAAAGTGGTAAAAGTTTGAAAAAGTGCCTCAAAATAAGCCAGGTAAAGTAGAATTTGCCGAGAGGTAACGGAATAATTTTATTCCAACCCTCCGGCCAAAAGCTTTCTTTCTTTGGAGGAAAGACCCTTTTACGTCAAAATCTCGATTTTTTTTTAACTTGCAGGTCGGAAAGATCAAGGAGGAAAAACTAGCACATCCAATAAAATACTGTCTAGTATTCTTGACGGGCTATGGCATCATCAGCTGCCGAATTTTGAGGTGGAACAGGCTTTTAACATCGTTCTCTCACAGCAGGAACCTCATTGTTCTGTTTGTAGCTTCTTCTCAAAATCAGAGGTAAGAAAGGTTTTTTTTGGGACAAAGCTGAGATTAGGGACGCAATGCAATGACCAACACGAGGCGATTGTTTGGACTGCCGTGCGTTGTCTTTTGTCGAAAACATTCGTGCGTTATACTCTGATCAGGATAAATATTTCGTATTTTCACTTGGAAGAGTGATACTCCTTTGTATCTGTTGCTTTCTCAAGCGTGTGACTGATCGCACTTTTCTCAAACCCGTGTGCATGATTTTCCATGTGCATTTCTAACACAAAACACCAGTCTAAAATTTCCTGCATTTCCCCACGCTAGTCCGAGGCACCAGTCGTATGTTTCCCTTAAACGCTTCATTAGCCTGCTTTGCTGCGCAGCTGTCACACCTTCCTACTCTTTCCTCAACTGAAACTTACTAGCCACTGATGTTTTATTCCTCAGGATAATCTGCTAGTACATCTAAGAGAAAATCTCCACAAACCGCTTTCCAATTTAACGATAAACCTAACTGGTTTGACCGAAAAGCTGTCTGTCCCTAAAGTACCAGAGATTTGCTTCATGTCGGACGACTCCAGTCCTGAGAGTATGAGCTCTTGGCTGGACAAAAAGTTCACCACAGATACAGCAAGTCCTCTGCTACGATGTGCATCATGTAAATTACTTGTTCATGCAAGTGAGTAGAAAACTGAATCACGGAGAAGAATGTGTTGTTTTGACGAAAAAGAGTTTTCTGTGAGGAGTGTTAGTTTTATTTACTTTATTTCGTGGTGAGTTACGTGGTGGCCCTGTGGTCGAGGTTCTTTACTCCCGCCATGTCTCGCGGCCCCCACGAACTGAATGTAAATGGTTCTTAGCGAAATACAGCTGGGTTCTTATAATATTTCGTTGATTTAAGGGGAAATACATATGCTTTCAAGAGTACAGGTCGGTCACAAATTCTAAAAGGAGCTCATGAGACTGCACTGAACATTCACTTGCCGGTACTTTGAGTGAGTAATACATCGACGTAAAGTTGATTGAAATATGTGTCTTCAGGGCAGAGCCTGTTGGAATAAAGGGTACCATAACATAAACAACCAGCTGTTTGAAATCAGTTTGAAGAGTTTTTACTGGATTTTGTGTTAGGTTGTTATGGTGTAAGTCATGCTCCAAGTGATGGCCAGTGGAAATGTCAAAGATGTCTTCAAGACGATCAATCAGCCATTGAAAATAGTGTGAGTAGTTGAAGACCTTGTACTTTGATGAGCGCATTGCTACCCTTTAAATGTGCAATACTGTCTGTAAAATGTTACGAAAACTAGATTTGGACGCCAACTCGCTATTGATATCATCAATATCGAAAGGCTATTTCGTATTTCTCGTGAGATTGTTTGTTTTTTTTCCCCACAGTATTGCTCGTTATGTAGACTGGGTGGTGGTGCTTTGAAGAGGACAACAGACAGCAGGTATTTTCAACGTTCCCGAGGATAATAACTTGTCTTGTTTATGGTCGACAACTTCCTTATCATTGCGATGCGGAGTCAGTCTTCTCCATAGGGACTCCTTCTTATTCATTAAAGTGCGGATCACAAACTGTCTAATGAGCAAACATCCCTAGAACGATCAAAACAAAAGAACTAGTGAGCAGAACCGTAGTTGAGCGCGTACGTTTTGAAAAAACAGCGTGAAATCACCAAAATTGACGTGGTCTTAGAACGGAAACTCCGATGGAAAATTTTTAAAAGGTTTGGAACTTAACGCTGTGCACATGTGTTATACTGAAGTTGGGGTGTAACGCCGCAAGAGATGGTAAACACATCCAGCCATTTGAGAAATTCTTGCTATTTGCGAAATTCTTGCTAAAAACAAAAAATCATTGTTTTTGATTCTTGACCGCGTAAGGTCCCTAATATCACTTACAACTACTCTCTCGTGTCATTTCTTGCAGATGGGTTCATATAGGATGTGCAGTAGCTGTACCTGAAGTGTTCTTTGTCGATGTGAATCTTAGGGAAGGAGTTAACATCGATAAAATTACTTCAGCAAGAAGAAAACTTGTAAGTGGAGCACTTTTGTTCTTTCCTTTTCGTTCATTATAATATTGTGGTAACTTTATCTCTATACGCCTTGCTTCTTTCATTGTGGCGTTCTGATTTTTTGGCATGTATGTATGTTTGTTTCACCCTGTTAACATTATGATATGCGTCACGCTGTCCTCCTTTTTCTGTTATGTTGCTTTCGAGTCAGTCCCACGGTACCTGGTTCGGTGCGTCATGCTCTTCTTTTGCGTTTCTTTAGAAATGTTTTTATTGTCGATCAAGTTCCACGGCCAGCGGAAGGGATAATGGTGCATGCGTACAATGTTGCGCGGGAAAGTGTGCAGTATCCTTTCATGTGACGTGCTTTGTTTTGGCCGGGTTCGTGCTGGAGCCAAGTGATTGGCCGCAACCTACGGAAACCTACTGCGAGAGACATCTGAGAACAAGATTTAAAGTAAGATTCTTTTATGTAGTGCAAATGCCTTGTTGCCACTAAGAGCGTATTCCGATCATAAACTTCAAATTCCCTTGGTATTCCTTATTTGCTGTTTACTTGGCTCTGTGATCCGCTGTTCATAACGCGGAGCAATAAGATGTTGAAAAGAAAAAAGGACGTAATTTTTCTGGAAGCTGAAAATAATGCTACTCTTTAGGTTGAGGACAAACGAGAGGTTTTTGAGGTGATTCATGGGGTAACGCAAAGAGCCTAACGATTATTTTATTCTTCTTTAGGAGGAAAGGTAAAAGATAGCTTATACAACTTTATCTTTTCCCTTTTTTTTCTCAGGGAAAGCAGAGAGACTTCTCTGTTATTCATTTCGGTGAATCCGTTGTAGCCAAGCACAAAAATGGAAGGTAAATTAGATCAGTTCAAATATTGTTTCTTTTTTTTTTTCCCCATGCATTCTGTTTTTCTCACTACTCTTACAGAGCCTCCTTGCAAGGAGGCAGAAGGAAACCTTTGGTTAGTGAGGTCATTTGCGATTGACTAGCATCACATCGGGGTGGGGTAGGGCAGGGGAGGGGTGGAGGAGACAGTAATGTGCCTTAAATCAACTCGTAAATTCTAACTAACTTACCAAGTTAGTTTAGATAGTCTGCGTATCTTGATGGACTCTTAACTTGGGTCTGCTCCATTTGTCTCAGATATTACAGGGGCGTGGTGCAGGACACGACAACTGATGAGTATTATGTGGTGTCATTTGATGATGGGACGTACTGCGATAATTTACCTCCAACTGACATTGTGGTAAGAAGCTTGTGGTAAATGAAGAAATAACAGTAATAATAATAATAAAATTGATAAGAATAATAATGATGGTATAATTTATATAGCGGAAAATACCTGTAAATATGATTTAATGCGCAGACCAAAATCAGTGAGCTTCTGAAAATATTGTTAGGAAAAAAAATGGGCAAATAGTTATAGCTAAATAAGATATTCCTAAAACTCCTCTTTAAGAGGCATAAATGATAATAGTTTAGATATCACATGCAAAAACACTACTTGTGGGCTAATCAAAAAAGGCAAGTTTAGAGCACTTCAGTACTGAAGTGTTGATATACACAGTGTGATAAGTAAATGTGAGCCCGAAAAAATTTAGGAATCGGGCAGGACTCGCACTACAGTAACGACCTGGCGACTCGGTGAATTTTCTGGCCAACCGGGTTTTTTAAGTCAGTGACCTCTAAGGCTCAAGGGTTTCTAGGCTCAAATGTTGCTCATTGATCGAAGTGCTTAATATGTGCGACGAAAGAGAGAAAGACCAAAGTGGGTAGAAGAAGGGAAATAAGTGGCCATAGTTAGATTGCAAATGATGTGCTCAGATAATAAAGATAATTTTCCCATGTTGCACAGACCGTAGTTGAGCTCTTTTAGAAGAATGACCACAACTTTTTTACTGATGACGTTGCTTTTTTTGTTCATTGTAGGGCCATGACAGCACACAAGAGGATATTCCTGTAGGAAGGGTTATTCAAGTCAGGTGGAGCGAGGACGGTGGACTGTATAAAGCCAGAGTCACTGGCCGAAGAATAAGCGTTACATACCAGGTATGTAAGTTATCATGACTCTATGAGAGGTCCACAAAACTCGCAAAGATGTTTTTTTTCTGATTGAGGTGCAAAGAAAGAGTAGATAAAGGGGGATCCTCTACTTATAAAGCAACTTGGACGGGCAGGATGGTCCTCCTGGAAGGAATTAACTCCACCAAGCTATCCTCATTTGCTCAGATAGGATAACGTGTTCCTGCGGAATTAGTCATACTCCCGCATACAGCTGTTACGAGAAAAGGTTGTCGACAAAAAAAGACGAAAGTGCACGCCGCAATCTCGAAATGTCTTCTGGGTATCCGGTAACCAATGAATTTTAATAAGTCAAATAAATACATGATTAACAGAATTCATCAAACCCGCGATGCCTCGTCCTTGCCGTGACGTTTTCCAGGTTTCTCTGAAATCCCGAGCTCAAGGAACCGTGACCTGAAGACTACCCACAACAGATTTCGGGGTTGTCGCGTTCACTTTTACGCTTTTTTTTTGACAACTTTTCTCCAAACATCTGTATGTTCCCCATCATTTCACCCATTAACTGAAGGTTTAGGAATACCACAGTACATACAAAACACGAAAATAGAGAACGTACAATGTAACGATTGGCGTTACTCTTCGTAACATTGAACGAACACGAGAAATTTTGAAACCATTTTGTTTTGGATTAGGTTGAATTCGAAGATGATTCGTGGTTAAGCGTCCGCCGGGAGGACGTGTACAAAGCAAGTGAAGAACTTCCTCTTAAAGTGCAACAGCGACTGGTAAGTTTAAGCGAACATCCAAGTGGCGCTACTTTTGGGGGGGGATCTCTTTTCAATGGTCAATATATGAAGAGGTCTGGGTGAAGTGTTTTGGTGAGAACAACAACCCAAAACAGTCAACTGATAACAACTGAAGGTTGATGTTGGGTTAGGGGAGGGGTAGGTGCGCTATTGCTCAGATACTGACTTTAGTCCAGGGGACTCATTCCATGCATAACCGCTGGACTTGCAAAGACAATTTTGATTCCGTCCTTCGAAATTTGTTTTACTTTACAGTCCTCCGCCACAGAGACAGCTAATCTGTGTTACTGGGAAGACATTCCTGATCACAGCGCCAAGCGACCAAGGAAACAGAACCCACGCTTTCTATGAAAGATTAATTGTAAGCTTTGGATATTTCGTCCTTTTATCGATATTGATAAAGGGGCCATGGTTTCTGCCATCTTCATTTTGAGCCGCGGTTTTGAAGGTCAATCTCCTGGGTAAGAAGTTCAAGATCAACAGCGGAAAACCTTTCATAGCAAGTCAGCCTATTGAAAACAAATTGTGTCAAGTTGCGATAAAAGCAGCCTTGTGTGTTTATTCCTCTTAATGGGCGGGCCCATTAATCCCAATAATATTTTGAGCTTGTGGTTAGCTAGTCTTAGAAGAAAACGAAAAGGAAGTGAATCCCTCGAGCCTTTTTTACAGCATTAGTTGTCTCGAATGTCTTACAAGCTACGAAATCAGTAATTTCGTTAACGAATTGATAAATCAAAACAGGAGCTTATATCATTGGTATTCATAAACACGAGAAAATTCTGGTAGTTCAGCTGGAGACGACGAAGGAAGTTAAGAGCTGACCTCAAAAAATGATTTTGATAACCCATTAACACCAGAAAAACACGTGTAATTAAACCGGGTTTACCTGTGTGATAATCAGAAGCAGAACTAAAAAACTGAATTTTCCATAGGATTCTAGTAGGCACTAACTTGTATTTTGAATTCGCTAAATTTGAAGACAACAAACTTCGGGTGAAGAAGCTTTTATTTAGAAAACAAATTTAAATCTTATTCGACAAAAAAGCTTCAAAACATGTTTACGCTATTGTGTGAACAAGGTATAAGATTCCTGTGCTCGCGTGTATGTTCATGCAGCATGAAAAGTTAATGAGTGTGAAGTCATTCAAATGATCTTCTTCAAAGGTGCAGGGGATTCGCTTTCGTATTTTAAAAAATTCCTTTCTGAGTATATTTTTTTTGGGTATTTTTGATGTTTTGTTTTTCAAGGACGTTATGCTATATTATGAGGCATTTTGTGTGAGCTAAGTATCCACTTTTTCGGCGCCGAAAAAAATGTATTTTGGCAAACATTGTTAAATGGTTCTAGGTTCATTACAAAAAAGCTATAAATGTTAGCTTTATTTAAACCATTTGAAGCAAGTGAATAGCATATTACAAGGCATTTTTCTGATAGGATTTTCATACGATCTGTGCCTGAATCGATCTAATTACAGCGATACAGCACTTTATACTAACTCAGTCGTTTTTCAAATTCATTCATACTTTTAACATGTATTGTCCTTCGTTGGAGATAAAATGTAGTTAAATTTAAACTTGAAACAACGAATTTATTTTGTAAGGTCTTGTACCGGAAGGAAAAGCAATGAGATCACACACCCCTCCGTGTTGGGAGAGTTTTAAGGGGATCTTGAAATATTCAATCCTGATTCGCGAATTTAATCACGTGAGCACTCTAAACCGAATCATTCAAACATGCTTGGTGCCTGTAACGTTATTCTTGAGTTGAACAGCTTGCGTAAGACTCGAAATTTAATCTAATGATAGATATGATCTCTTACATGTAGCTTTAAAATTCTCTTTAGATACAACCTAAACTACTTGACTAAAATTAATTTACTCGAGAGCTCGCTTGTTAATTGTAGATAAAATTGCATATTGGCCGCTATTTATGATTGCTTATTTAACAGCGTATGAGGTATTTAATGAAATACTGCTATCTTTCGCAAATCAAACGTAAATAGTTAAGTATTAGGTGTTTTGGGGTATTGTAGCTTCACTTTCCACTCATTTGTAGACTGGATTCTCGTTTCAAGACTTGCATGGTGATACTCGACCCGTAAAATTAGATTTTTAAGAATGAGAGCGCTTTCCGATTGAGTGTCTTAAAATTCTCTTCAATGAAAGGAATCTCGACGGCCAATCAGAACAATGGACAGCATCACAAGGAACCAATGGAACGTAAAGGAAAATTCTTTTAACAATTTTAAGCGCGGGAAAACGAAAAGGCACGATTTGTTTTGGTTCTGTATCTGATTGGTTGAGAGATTTGCGCTTAATTTGTTAACAAATCACTCATCGCTTTGAGGCAAAGCTGGCGTAATTCGGGATTTTTTCGACACTCGATTGAGAATTGCTCAGAGAACAGTCCTGGGTTGCTTAACCAAGTCTCTATCCGTGAATGAGTCGGCAGAGAAGATTGCGGGCTCGTTGAAACATCACGGTGGAGACTTGGCGACGAATTTGTAATTTGGTCAACTTAAAAGACTTCCAATTTGAATTTTGTGTGCCTAGTTTTGTGCCATGTTAAACTTCTCTAATTCTCCGATACTTGTACATGAAACAATTAAGTTATATATGCTCATTTTTCCAAGCAGTCAAACCAAAATAAAAATTTTTGGATATCCCATGGTATTTATTTCTTGAGGGCTAAATCAAGGGTGTCGTGCGGTCAGAAAATGGAAGTAGGCTGAGATGTTCCTAGTAACAGCTGGCGGCTAACATTTAGCTTCGTGACTCGCTAGGTAATAGCGGCCTGACTAGTATCTAAGAGGCAGAGGTTTTTTAGGCTTTTTTTTTTGCATGGTTTCTGCAATTGCAGCCCACCTACCAGGATTATTGTTTTTACCCTTTAACCCCTGAGAGTGACTAGCATATAATATCTCCCAACAGTATCACACAATAAGGTTATGAGAATAAAGGAAATGATCATCAACTAAATATTCTCTTGATTGACAAACAAATTCTCCTTGTCAGCGCCTTAGGAAATATTTAGAGAACAGTATGGAGAGTATGCATACTGATATAAGGGTGTTAAGGGTTAGATGTTTTTCCGCCCCGGTATCCGCAGGTCACAAAATGATTCATTTCATGTTCGTTTTAATCATTTTTTTTTTAATTATCGTACCATGACAATTATCCGATCAAAATTTGTGTCATCTCTACATCGAAGTGTTCTTCTTGGAAGGGGAAAAACTAAGCATGCTAGATGTCACAGTTTTCATATAAATAGTTTAGCAGCAGATTCGTTATATTAATGCAAGGATACTATCATTGATAGTGTCAGTTGTCTCTTTAATCGCTAAATCAAAATTGGAATCAACTATTTCTCTCAACTCAACTTTGTATGGAGAAAAAAAGCACTGTTGGTTTGAAGTCAGAGTCATACTTGGGCGTAAATCTACCGAAATTATTAAGAGTAACAATAACGAGTAACTGTAAGAAACTCTACCGGTAGAAAGAAAAATAAGTAAATAAATCAATGAGTGAGTAATTAATTTTTACAGGAAATCAAAATTTTAAACCAATCAAAAGATCAAATTCATGTTCGTCTTCTACGTGGCCAGTTTCTTTGGGATCTTTCGGCGATCATGGTTTGTGTCAATTATAGAGGTTGCCTTCCTATAAAACGCAGCAATTTCGCCGAGAAAGGTCGTGGCCATATTGCTTAAGTTGTTTCATGTCTGGAATTTTGGGCTTGGCATCCTAAAAAAGGCAAACGCAATGCAAATTTAAATAAATTCTCCAGTATCTAATTAGTAATTTTCCCTTCTTATTGTTACATGATTCTTGGAAAGTAATTGAGAGAATTTAACGTGATATCAACAAAACACCGTCCAGGATGCAGAGTTTGTCTATTATAAACACCCGTTTGCCGGACAATGTATAGGGTACAGGGTCTATTACTAACACCTATTTGCTGGGTATTGTATAGACACTGTCGAAAAAAGTTGCAGATCAATCACTTCTGTTTATACCCTGTTCAAGGCTCTCAGGCGGCCAGGAGATGGGAGAAGCAGCAGGCGAGCCACAAGTAACACAGCGGTCAAACGTTTGCGTATGCGCGAACTTTATAATGACTAGATGGTGTACTTTTAGGCTGTTAGAGTAACGTTTTCTTTCTTTTTTTCCTTTGCCTGACCCCCATCGATTTACCCCCACTTGCTCTTTTGCCAGAGCCTGGCGCACACTATTCTTAGTGTTACAATGTATGAAAGTACTATTGGACAAAGGGTTTACTCACCTCTTCATCAGTTTGATCTTCTTCAGTTTGAAAGAATTTAGGCACCAGTTCCTGTGTGGTGGGCAAAAAGAAGGGAGCAGCTATGATGGCTCCTGTTGTTTGTTCCCCAATCTGAAAAGAAATAAGGTAATATATTAAGTAATAAATAGTTGATTGGAAAACAGCACGAAAAGTGCAAAGGTAAGAGACATCCACACACACCGTCAACTACCTTAATTTGCGTCGAGCTGTTGGTAAGTCGCCATCTTGAATTTGAGAGAAAAGACGGAGGGGCACGTCCATCAGAGATCTGATCAAGGTTCTTGTAATCAGCTCTGTTGTCAGAGGCACTAGATGTATGATTTCCCTCAGTTGTAATCTCCTTTACGTCACCAAATTCTAAAACAACGTCGAAAATATTATTACGCAGACAAAAATGTGGTACACTGCAGTAGTTGAGCGAGGAGCCTATATTTGACAAGTAACTTTAAAATTGCAGTACTTTGGTCAGAAAGTACGAGACTGGCTATCTCAGGTTGTATGATCTTTCGAGACGAATATATTATTTCAGATTTAACCCAAAATTTTGATCTTTGAATTTTTACCTTTATCAGCATCTGTTCCTGTGTCACTCCAAAACTGAAAGAAAAAAAAAGGCGTGTGTCATAAATAAGATACATCTAACATCAGTCCTCATGTGATAACCAAGCTCGAAATAAACCTCTTTTCTTATTTTGGCTCCACACACAACGCTTTGCCATTGCTGATTCGTGCAGCACGGAGGAAGCTGGTCACAAACGAACCTAATACATGGCCTTGGCACGATTATCACCCGACGAGAAGAAATAAGCCCAGGCTCCTTCCCTGAAAAGTTCCTTCTCGGAACACACCAAGACTGGACCCTAGAAATCGGCGGAAATCAAGCCTTTACATGACCGCGCACAGTAACCAGGTCTGTGTAACTTCATCTCAAGAAGGCTTTTGTTGCATCTTCCTGCTGCAAATCCTTATTTTTGTGAAGAAATTTAACCTACTTCCAAAAGAGACGCAAACATTGAACAAAGAAAGCTGCCACTTTACCTTTAACTTACAATCAGCTCCTGTAGTCATCACTTGTTGATTGATGTTGTCAATAGCCACGCCTCTTACTTGACCATTGTGCGCTGAAAAGCAAAGGTTAACAATATCACATCGTTTACTGCGCTCAGCACACTAGTAAGGCAACGCAGAAATACAGTTTTTTCATAAGTGTCTTTCCTCGGTCAATCTAGGTCTTTATTCTACTCCACCCAAATGGGATGATACTCCATCGCAAGTTTTCCCCTATCTACGCGCCCCCCC